CAGGAACGGTTTTGTGAGAGACTTTCAATGATGCATTTGGTGTAGGCAATGTCCCCATGGAACGAAGTACCATAAGGTGAGTGCGTTGAGGTTCCTAAGAGTGTAGTGAAGGTGGAAGCTCTGGCAGCTCTCTAATAGGCGTTCCGTCGGTATTCAGATATTTCAGAAATACGAGATTCTGAATTGATGAGGGTAGCTTTCTAATAGGCGTTCCTTCTATCCTCAGATATCTCAGAGATACCAAATGCTTAATTGATGAGGACAGCTCTTTAATACCTGTTTCTCACAAATTAAGAGAATCTAAAGATTTTATAGGTTCTGTCATTCCGGGAAGCTCTCGAGTTTTGAGCAACCACTCATATCCAATAATCTGAGTTTGGTGAGAAACTGGACTGAGGAGGGCACCTCTTCTATGTTTTGATTTCGATATCAAATATGGTAAACGTCCTTTTCAACATGGATATAAAAATTGCCAAGTATTTTTTTTTTTTTCAAGTTCAATGTATTTATATCCCAATTTCAAATATCAGAGTGTCAATAAATATTTTTTCAAAAAAAAAATTTAATTTAAAAATTTAATAAGTTATTGGATCAGACCTCAAATATGATTTTATCTTATATTTTACTGCAAAACAGTTCAAGTGAAAGCCCACAATTTCTTCGCACTATTCATTTTAATTCCAAAGGAAATTCAATTGACCAGTAACACTTATTATATTAGATGAAGTCTTAGATATCATAATATCATCTCAATTTAGAAAATTTAAGTTATTAAATGGGATTTGAGGAATAGTTGTATGATATATTTTAAGTTATTTTTTCAAATGAAAATTTTTTAAGTTTAAAACTTTTACAAATCTACCATTCATTATTTTGTGTTTAATTAGAAAAAAAATTGGAATTATGATATTTAAAATAGTAATAGTTTAGTTATCAAAATTTTAATAACATATCAAAAAAATATTTCACCTTTTAAGCTATTAAATAAAATTTCAAAAATAATTTTATATTAGCTTTTAACTTTAAAAAAGTTTGTTCAGTGACATATCTCGTTCTTGTTGGCTCCTGCCACCTTCATATTGAATATTACTTATAAGTGATCTCCACATGTGTTTTTAACCTCTCATGTCGTGTGATTACGATTTACGATAGTGAAACAGTTTCTGAAAAAAATGGATATTTAATGAATAATGAAGCTAAGAAATTAAGTGATCTCCGAGGGGGTACGTAGTAAGTTCCAACGCTATATATATGGATAGGTACTAGTCTTTTGAGGTATTAAAACACTTGCATACTACTTAAAATCAATGGAGTTGATTAATGAGGAAAGTGCAAGTGAGCTACTTCAAGCTCAAACTCATATATGGAATCATATTTTCAACTTCATAAATTCCATGAGTCTGAAATGCGCAGTTCAACTAGGCATACCAGATGTCATCCATAAACATGGCAAACCCATGACTCTCTCTGAGCTTGTTTCTGAACTACCAATCCACCCATCAAAAACACAATTTGTCTATCGCCTTATGCGTATCCTTGTCCACTCTGGTTTTTTTTCCCTCCAAAATCTTAATGATATTCACAACCAAGAAGCCTATTCCCTTACCCAATCCACTCGTCTCCTCCTCAAGGATAACCCCTTGAGTATGAGACCTATGTTACTTTTGTTGCTTGATCCAGTTCTAACAAAGTCACATGATTGCTTGGGCACTTGGTTCCACCGCATTCAGTGTTGCCCATGAAAAGACACTTTGGGAATATGCTGGCCAACATCCAAGGTTCAACAAGCTCTTTAATGATGGCATGGCTAGTGATGGCATACTGGCTAGTAAGGTGGTTATGAGTAAATGTAAAGGCATCTTTGAGGGGCTGAATTCTTTGGTGGATGTTGGGGGAGGCTCAGGAGCTATCGCCAAGGCCATTGCTGAAGCATTTCCCCATGTGGACTGCACTGTGTTTGATCTCCCCCATGTGATTTCTGACTTGCAACGCAACAAAAATTTAAGGTACGTAGGAGGGGTTATGTTTGAGGCAGTTCCTTCTGCAGATGCAATTTTATTGTAGGTTAATAGCAGTTTCCGAGTACTAATTAGCAAGATATGAAAATTACATACACCAAGAGCTCAATTTTATTACAAAAAAATTAAAAAAGTGGTGCATATATAGGTAACATAGCCCAATTTTTAACGTCTACTTCTTTAAATTATAAGGTGTAAATTGAATTCTTATGAAAAATGACAAACAGTATATACTGCATGACTGAAGAGATGAAGACTGCGTGAAAATACTTGAGCAATGCAAACAAGCAATTCCCACGAGTAAGGGACAGCAGGAAGCTGGGAAAGTTATAATCATAGAAATAGTGAGAGGAAACCAAAATGGAGATGCGGAACCAATTCAAACGCAGCTGCTTTGGGATCTAGAAATGATGGTGATTGTTAGTGGTATGGAGAGAAATGAAAAGGAATGGGCTAAGCTCTTCTATGATGCTAGCTTCGTCAACTAGAAGATACACCCTGTGCTGGGCACTCGAACTCTCATTGAGCTTTATCCTTGATCAGCTCTTACTTATTTTTTATTCTCTCTATTATGATATTATGTTTTGTACTGTTAAGCTATGAATTGCACCGAGTGACATGAAATAAAATTGTGCAATCATTTGTCTTTCCAACTGCTAGTGACAAAACATGTAATATCAAAATCTGTTTTTAGAGCTGGCTAATCTAGTGAAGTCCTTCTATAACATCAGTAATTAATGATTTTGACGTAAAAATACAGTTCTTCCATGATAAGCTATAAAAAGTGGGTAAACTCACCCATGACTTGAATTGATGATTACAAGCATAGGTGGGGAATGTCATAAAAACAATTCAGAGAAGATTAGCCTCGCAATATTTATGGCTTCAATCAGTAGTGGTGGCTAAATTTTTTCGAATATTATTACGTAACAGAGAAGAACTATTTTCGACAAAAAAAAAAAAAAAGTCAGTCAAAGAGGCTCCTACTAATTAACATAGATTTCCGAGTTTACCACCATTTCCAGTGACAATTGACGTCATCATTTCCAAATCAAATAACAGTTGCGTTTTAATGATCTGATCAGTGCAGTTTTGGCCAACCAGCACATTTTCTAGAGTTATTATCACCTTTCCTCCTTTGCCTATGCTCATAATTGCCTCTCTACAACTCTTAAGTATCTTTACGCAATCTTCATCATTCCAATCATGCAGTATGTTCTGTACATTTTCATCCCCATTACAAATTATACGTTTAGTGTTCCTCAAAAGTCAAAACAAATGAGAAAAAAGTTTCAAATTCCACTGTCTATTTGTAGGATGTGAAATCCATATCTAAGAGTCTAGTTGAATTAAAAACAAAAGGTTTACTTAAGACTAATTCCCTTTCTGATCAAGTTTTAAGTAGGCCATCAACACCTGGGAAAATATATTTATAAGAAGTTTATTTTTTATAGCCTCTCTCAGGATTCAAACCATGCATGTCTAACCAGAAATAGTAATCAATATCTAATTGAAATGGGGATGCTGTGAAGATAAATAAAATCAAAAGTCTTCGTCCATGTGTACCTTTAGTAAGATTCCCTCAGCAGGAGGTATTGCCTCAAACATGTCCCCTCCAAGGTAATTCAAGTTCTCACTGCCTTGTAAATCAGCAACAACATGTGGAAGATCCAATATGGTGCAATTCAAGCCCGGAAATGTTTCAGCAATTACCTTGGCCACAGTTCCTGTGCCACCCCCCACATCGACCAATGAATTCAGCTCCTGGCACGCCTCCTTGCACTTGCTAATCACCACTTTGGTAACTAGAGAGCTGTCACTAGCCATGGCTTCATTAAAGAAATGGTTGAAACTAGTGTCATTGGCAGCAAAATCCCAAAATGTCCTTCCATGTGCAGCCCTAAATGAGGAGGGATCATCATTTTGGAACCAAGTGATCATAAAATGATAAACTTGGGTCAAGCATACCAAGAAGGAACGGCCTTGCACTCAAGGGATTGTCCTTGAGTAAAAGGCGAGAAGATTTTGCAAGCAAATAGCATTCTCTTTGGTCATTATCACCGACTTTCACTTCAAAGAATCCTGAATGAACTAGAATACGCTTAAGATGGTAGACAAAAGAAGCATTCGTTGGGTGGATTGGTCATGCAGCTACCAGCTCAGAGAAGGTCATGGGTTGGCCATGACTGTGGATGATATCTGGTATGACTAGTTGAACTGCACATTTCAGGACCATGGAGTTCATGAAGTTGAAAATATGATTCCATACATGAGCTTGAGCTTGAAGTAGCTCTTTAGGCTTTCTCCATTTATCAAGTCCATTGATTTCAGCTGGTATATGCAATTTCTTTGCTGTACCTTGAAATATGAACCTGATTGATAATTTATTTATGATACTTTATATCCAAGATCTCTTGTTATCTAATAACGCGCATATTACCATTGATCAATCATGTTGATTGGTCTAAAATAATAATAAAATTTATTGCAGTCCATTTCAATTATTGTCCATTTTTAGTAAACCAGTCAACTTGTCTGATCTCTTGTTATCCAATATTATTGGACATATTCCTATCGATCAATCATGTTGGTTGGTCTAAAATGATTATAAAATTTATTGCAGTCCATTTCCATTATTGTCCACTTTTAGTAAACCAGTCAACTTGTCTGATTGGTTCTAAAATGATAATAAAACTAATTACAGTCCATATGCTTTATCAGAAAAGCAGTTATAGCCATAAACTTCACTAGTCGATTATTGCATGCCGAAAGTATTACTATGAATATTTGGTTTGAAATTATTGAGTCCCTACGCAATGCAGCTATCATCTTAATTAACATCAGAGCGCCATGGTCCACGCGAAAGTATAACCTGCCGCAGCCTTGGCAAGTGCTTGTGCTTTTGCAAGCAATATATGGTGTAATTTTAACCTGGGATGCTAGCATACTATGCTGTTATCCAACCTTTAAAATAGAGAAATCATGAAAGATGCTATTTTCTTATGGGAAGACGGAAGGTCCTGGAAAGATTTTGAAGGTGTAGTTCTAATATTCCACATTTAGTATAGATATCTAAATTTTTAATATATGATTAGGTATTTCAACCTTTGCATGGATTGCATTTGGTTACAGACTTACAGGTCATTCGCAATGTTTTCCAACCTAAAAATTAGGATCTCTGTTACCATCTTTGCTTATTCTCTGGCCTTATGTATAGTGTTACAAATAGTCTCTTGTAGAAATTAGATAACAACAAGAGATAAATACAGAGGATAAAAGGTTAGACCTTCTATGTTGGAACTGTTTCTCATGGGAAGATCAATGAAAAGCGCGGTTTTCTAATTGATGGAGATAAATACAGGGTCCATGCTAAGGAAATCAAATCTGATTTTCCTGATTTCAATCTTTTTAGTTCTATGCTGGAAAAATCTGCAGCGAGAAAGCTTGAGGAAAGGGTTGATGATGTGGATGCTACGGTAGAATCTGACGTGGCTGCTGACATGATAGCTCAGTTGGATGATACTGGCCTAATCCTTTGGTGAGTGTACTGCAAGGCTGGCAAAGGAAATCAATGCTCACAAGATTTCAAATTTGAACAACCCGATAGATAGCTTGCTGTTTCCAGAAATAAAGGGGAGCGTTCGAAGCCACTAGTCCTTGACAGTTGCAGAATTTAAGACACAACAGAAGATAGCAGATAGTGTTCGGTTTCCAGAGTTAAAAGGGATGCTTCAAAGACAGAAACAACTGACTCTGATTTTAAAAGGAACTCTTTAGCTGGCAGTTTGGGGCGTTCAAGAGTGATGGACTCACAGTTTCATGTGGTAGCTGAACTTTCGGGTAATGGACGTAATACTCCAAAGGACTTAAGCTATGACTCTGATTTTAATATGTCCCCAACTAGATTAAAGCCATGTAACCCGTAGAAGGATGAAGTCAGGCGTTGTTGCATCTTCACAGCTAGCACGCTACTGGTTTTGTTTTAAACAAACCACCAAGTAAAGTTAAAAGTTCTGAACATAAGAGGTAGCCTAGAGGAGAGTGATGGTGAATGTAGTATTGACTCTATGGACTCAGATATCGGCAGAATTAATTGTCGAGTCATGAATTCAGCCTGCGCAACTAGCAATGCAGCAGAAGAAATCAGGATCTAATGAGGTTGCTTACACCTTGTCAGTAGGAGCAATCATAGGAGTTCATGAGGAGGATCGTAGAAACGAAGCAGCTGCAACTATTAAGAAGCAAATCGACAGAAAGGAAAAGGAGTGAGCTAGAATGGAATGACTGTTTCGACAGCAGCATCTTTCAGTCAGGTTTTCTCTCCGCTTATTTTTATGTTGATTATTTCATGGAATTGTAGAGGATTGGGTGACGGGTCCCGCCCATGTGTGTGGGACCGCCACCTTTGAACTAAACACAAAGGTAAATGATGAGAGATTCATTCACATGTTAGTAACTGTTTATAAATAGATATGTTTTGCCTTCATTTCTACAAAAGTCGTTGAGGCAGAAAAAATTTGTGTCAAAATTTGTGACAGTATTGTGTCTAAATTTTAGTATTTGTTGTAACCCTCTAGTTATACTTAGAGAGACTCTGTTTGTATTGCCTAAGTGCCTATTATTAAATAATAGAACATATAATGGTTTAGTCCTATAGTTTTACTACTAAATTTTGAGAAAGTTTTTCACGTAAAAATTATTGATGTTATTTTTCTTTACCTTTTTCTCTTTCCTTTGTGTTTATTTTAGAGTGAGTTTTGGGCTTATTGCCTAACTTGAGGTTTCAGCCCCTGAAGAAGAACCCAAAAATTAAATTAATTTTTGGAAGGTGCCCAAAAGAAAAAAAAAAAAAAAAAGAAATTGTCAAGTGAATAGTGACTTGCACTGTTGCAAAATTGTCTTATCACTCTCGTCAATTCTGCCTATTCTTGTGGCAGTTGCAATCAATTTGGTGAAATTAATTTGTGTGGTAAAGATTTTTACTCATCCTTAAATTTTATTTGTTTTACTTTTTTAGTCCCTATATTAGAAATCACTGCAAGATGGAAGCAAAGGTTGAAAAGATGACCTACCTCAATAGTTCAAACTAACAAATATGAAAAAATAAGATGACAGATCTCCCGTATGTGACAAAGTCGCACTTATTGGTGTTTGCTATAGCAAAACCCGAAGATAAAACTATTGAGAACTTAGAGTTTTAGTATATGCAAGTGTGTGGTTTTATTCAACAATTTGTTGAAAAAAAAATGTACAATCACATTAGTGGTTAAACACATGCCCAAATGCTACGGAACAATCTTGAGGAGCCGTATGCTTCCAAAACCGATAGCAACAAATTATTTTATCTAACAAAATTAATGCGAGTGAAATATCGAAAAAGTACATTTGTGGCGACATCACTTGAATGAAACTCAAGGGATAGTGGATCGATTGTCTAGTATAGGCATAAAGTTTGATAATGCAATGCTTGCTTTTATGGTGCTTGCCTCTTTGCCGCAGTTTTGGAAGACCCTAAAGATTTCAATTATCACATTCTCTATAAATGGTGTAGTGACTATGGAATCAGTAAAAGCGATATTCTAAATAAAGAGATAAGACAAAAATCAAAAGGTTCTTTTTCATCACAACCAGATGTCTTAGGTACAGATTTCGAAGGGGAGGCTAAAGTATAGATTCAAAGCACAGGGACAATAGCAGAGGAAGATCCAATAAATATGCCAATAATGAGTGCCACTACTAAAAGAACAAAGGGCACATAAAAAGATTCTGCCATAAATAAAAAAGAGACTAGGAGCAAAATAAAGGCAAAGACGAGAAAATACATGATGGCAATGATGAGGAACAAGCAAGCAAGCGTTCTTCATTGTATGCAAGGATGAAGTCGTTAATCTTGCATTCTAGGAAACTTATTGGGTTGTTGACGATGGTGCTTCCATTCATGCCACATTGCAAAAAGATTTCTTCTCATCCTACAAACTAAAAGGCTTTGTTGTTGTCAAGATGAGAAATGACAACTCCGTAAAAATTGTTGGCAATAGAGATGTTTGCTTGGAAATGGAGAATGGCATGAGGCTAGTCTTAAAAGACATCAAGCATGTCTCAAATATTCGCTTGAATTTAATCTCTATAAGCAAACTTGATGATAATGGATTCCGCAATGCTTTCACCAATGGCTAATGAAAACTCACCAAAGGTTCTCTAGTAGCTAAAGGGTAAAAAATGCTCAACATTATATTTGATACAAGCAAATCTTTTTAAAGAGATGGTGAATGTTATGGAAAAAAAAATAGTACAATCAAATTATAGCATAGAAGGCTCGATCATATGAGTAAGAAAGGGATGACATGGTCAGGCTAAACGGAATATGCTAGCTAGGATAGATAAAGTACACTTGAAGAGGTGTGTGAACTATCTAGCAGGGAAGCAAAATAGAATTGCTTTTAAAAGTGCCTCTTCTTTTAGAACGAAAAACGTATTGGATCTTGTACACTCGTACTTGTATAATCCAATGACAATAAAGTCACTTGGTGGTGCTCAATACTTTATGACTTTTATTGATGATCATTCTAAGAAGACGTGGGTCTACACTTTGAAGACAAAAGATGAGGTATTAGACATGTTCAAACAATTTCAAATCTCGGTTGAGAGACGGACTCGAAAAAGTTAAAGTGCATTTAGACGAGACAACAATAATGAATACATTGGTCCGTTTGAAACCAATTGTAAAGAGAAGGGGATTCGACATCAAACAAGATCCCTCGGTTGAATGGAACTTTAATGGAGTCGAAACCTACTCTAACATGCAAAGCTACCTAAGACATTTTAAGATGAAGCTTTAAGTATAGCTCTTCATGTATAAATATCTCATCGTGTATTTCTCTACAATTTAATGTTCTAGAGAGAGTATGGTTAAAAAAGAATGTTTCTTGTGATAATTTTTGAATGTTTGGATGCAAGGAATTTATGCACATTTCGAAGGATGAGAGATCTAATTTTTATGTCAAGACATGAAATTATGTAATCATTGGCTATGGCTAAGATCAATTTGGCTATAAATTCTATGATGCAATCCGTAAAAAGCGAGTTAGAAGCTTTGATGCAATTTTTTTTAAAGACCAAACTATTGAGGATATTAACAATGTCGAGAAGACTATATCCAGCTACGATAGTGATTCAACAAACTTAAAGCTAGTCCCTTCAAAAATGGTGCTAAGGCAAGTTAGAGATGAAATTCAAAATGATTTACCGATACAAGCAATGCAGATGCTTCTATAGAAATTAAAGATAATGATGGTATTTAGCATCAACCATTAGTAATAGCAAATTCTCCAACCCTATTAAGGAGATCTATTAGAGATAAACGACCTTTTACTAGATTCTCCAATGACCAAGTATGTGTGTGTTGATCGATGAAAGAGAACTAAAAAGCTTTGAAGAAGCTATAGAAGATGAATAAAAGCAAAAATGGATCAATTTCATGCGGGAAGATATCAAGTTCTTGCATGAGAACAAAATCTTTAAGTTGGTAAGGTTGTCAAAAGGAGAAAAAGCTTTGAAGAATAAGTGGTCATTTAGGGTGAAGCATGAACAAAACAATTCGGTTCCACGATTCAAAGTTAGACTAGTTGTCAAGGGATTCAAACAAATGAAAGGTATTGAATTTGATGAGATTTTTTCTCCGAGTTATGAAGATTACATCAATTCGTATAAGACTCGGGCTTAGCAGTAAGCCTTGATTTGGAGATTAAGTAGATGGATGTATAGATAATCTTTCTTCATAGGAACTTAGAGGAAGAGATATACGTGAAGTAGCCGGAGGGTTTTAGAATAAAAGAAAAAGAGGACTAGGTTTGTAAATTGAACAAAAGTCTTCATGGATTGAAACAAGCATCAAGACAATGGTACAAAAAGTTTGAGTCGGTTATATGGAAGCAAGGCTACAAGAAGACTACTCTAACCATTATGTTTTTATGTAGAAATTCTCCGATGATGATTTCATTATTCTTTTGTTCTATGTAAGGTAGGGGACAAGGATCCCCGTAGGGCATTAGTGCCCTCCTTAATTTTTTACGTCCGCCTCGCTCCATTCTACCTCCTATTATCTCTTACCAAATTTTAAACTATAGAAAAAAGATAATAGTTCATATAAAAAATACAATTAAGAAAGACAATAATTTAACATCAAATTCAACTATAAGTTTACAACACAACTCATAATATATGAAATTTTTTTTAAATCGAATAAATAATATACTTAATTAAGTTGATAAAGTATCACAAATGCAATTAAAAAACACAAGTTCTTGCATGTCTTTATTGCTTAGAGATTATCAAAATTCACTCATTATATTGGAGGCTAGTTTGTAGCCTCAAAATATATATATATATAATTTCCAAAGGAAAAGGCAAGGCGAGGCAGGTCGGTCGGGGTAGGCAAATACCATCACCGCCCCATCCCCATTCAAAACTAATGTGAGGCGTGGCACATTGCCGAGGAGAAATTTTATAATACACCAAGAGTAACTAGTGGTATGTATAGTAGTTACTCCATGGGTCCACTTTGAGGAGAGAGATAGACATATAAAAAAGATAAAAATTACATCTATACCCATCAAAAGTGCTAAGAAGATTTCCACGTCCACTCAAATTTTTTTATTTTCTCTCTCTCTTTTTTTGTATGTCTATCTCTCTCCTCAAAATAGGCCTATGAAGTAACTACTATACATGTCACTAGTTACTCCTAATATATTATAAAATTTCTCCATCACCCTGTTCCCCAATCAACTTGGAGAATCCCCACGTTGACCGTGGTAGGGATGAGCGAGATCCCGTTAAGACGGGATAAATTGTCATCCCTAGGTCCATAATAAAGAAACAATTGATACACTTCCTATTAGGCCTACATTTTTTTATTTAAGTGATAACTAGACCTAGTTTTAGAATTATATTTTTACTTGTTTTACTTTGTATGATTTTTAAAAAAATTAATAATGTTTTTCCTTTTTTTAATAAGAAAATATTATAAGTCAATTTTTCCTCTACTCCAATAACCAATAACTAAATTGTAATTTTATTAAAATAATTTTTGAATAATAATTTAAAAGTTAGGTTAAGTTAAAAAATTTAAATTTCAATAGTGCAATTATTATTGAATTATAATAGCGTGCTATATATATATATATATATATATATATATATATATATATAAAACTAAAAAAAATATTATTATAATTATTTAATAAAAATATTAAATTGACATATATTATGAACCATTATATTTTAATTGTTAAAATCTACCTTTGTGATCACAGTCTCTGATCATTATTGCAACCGCAACTACTGTTTAAAAAATATGCACCTAACACTCGGTTAAGCTTAATAAGCCTATCTCACCACTCCCTACCATTAACTTGATTGTGGAAAGGTCCCTCAATCAACCAACGAAACTTTTTTATAAGTACACGACGTAGAAGATTACAAGGCACTCCAGCTCAAATACCACATTACTCAGATTTTACTAGACGCACACTCATCAGGTGTTCATTAAAATCTTTAATAAAAACCTGATGACTTGTTTCTGGTACTTCCATTGTAACCAAGATCTCTTGTTATCCAATCACAACACCATCAGTCTGGAAATTTAAACAAAATCTCAGGCAGAGATAACACATGATTCTCTACCAAAATTAATTCTCAACGAAATAATATTTCATTTCTTTGTTGGCAGACGTCAAAAAACAAGTCATTTCAGGTAATTTCTAATGTTCTTTCTAAAAGCTTCATGAACAACAACAATAAAAAAAGCAATTGAAAGAAAATTACCATCCAGCTGACATCCTTTCAGATAAATTTCTGATTTTTTTTCTTTTTTCCTAATTATTTTGGGCTCAGATTCTATGGAAAAAAATTAACTAGCTAGATCTTCTCAGGAGTTGTGTCGGTGCTGTCAGAGCTTCCTTTCCTATCATTACGTATGTCAAAACACGAGAACAAGTTTCTCTTTCAATAAAGAGTCTTAACGTAACATTGTATGTCAATTTCAACCATTATAACATACTATCTGATATCCGGATCACAAGATTATTGTACTCTATCTAGTTCATGTATCTGTAAACCTCCAAGCAAATCCTATTTTCTAGAGTACAAATGAAATTGGTGGGATAATGGTTAACCATAACAGACGTGAAGTGTACAAAAGAAGGGTGAAACAAGAAATAAGATGTCACAGAACAAAGATTTTTGAAGTACATCCAAGAGGAAAAATTACAGAAGAGACAGCATACAAACAGCATGCTCCCCATCAGAATTGTAAAACTGATTAAACAGAAAAAATCACACAAGTACATCCTACAACCCATAGGAATCTAGGTGTCTTCTACAATCCGAGTAAAGAACCTAAAAGGTGCCACCAGGCAGCATGGGTGAAAATGCCACTGATCCTCGGGAGAAAGCCAACAAGGGTTTTAGTAGAATAATGGATGGCGACTGGAGCAGTGGAGGTCAATGAAGTATCTGTTGTGTTGTGCAGAATCCAGAAAGTTCTGTTCTTGACCACCGAAATGTATCAAGAAAGTTCTGTTCTTGTCCACGTAAACAACTTCAACGTTGAAAGAATTCTGCAAAACAATATTCATTCAAAGTGATCGAGTTTTCAGCTCAATTTACCAGATTTAGAAAAGATAATTCAATATATGACCAGAACTAAATTAAGCTCAATTTACCAGATTTAGAAAAGACAATTCAATATATGACCAGAACTAAATTAAGGTCTCTAATGCAATTCCATGAATATCAGCTTTTAAACTGACTACAACATCTGTCATTAAAACTAAATTAAGAATCTGTGTGGCATCATTCATTCTGGATTCAATCGTGCCTAATGTTCTTAAGGTGTTTTTTGGTCTCATACGAAATAATATGCCCTTAGTGATGGTGTTACAGCAGATATGTGCAAATAAAGCAAGAGAGGTTATAAATAGAAGGTTTGGAAGTAAAGGTCGCTAGACATGAGTTGAAAACAAGGTAACATAATTTAGTCAATAATTAGAAACAACTGCATACAATAGTCTTTTTCAAACTGAAGTAGGATAACAACAAAAGCAATGCAGAAGACGTCTACACATACACATCACAGGTAAAACCTTCCATGGCAAAATGAAAAGGAATTTGTGAAACTAACTGCAATTTGTGAAACGTCGTCTACAGCTTCATTGAGTGAGTTGAGCAAGTCACGCAAAACCAAATTTTTAGCTCTCAACATTCTACATGCTTACAATCAAATTCATACCAACTTATGTCTTGTAGTAAGTTTGACTTATAAATCCAATTTCAAATTGTATACATATTATTTAGCTCTCAACATCCTCCCAACAATTTTTTCAGATGCCAATAACTTTAATAGCAAATCAAAATTTTTAAGTCCTTCAATAAATTCGCTTCCATCAAATAAATCTACCATTATCGCCATTTCAAGATCAAAACCAGGCTCTTTACCTGAGATTAAATACATAATCGAGATAACTAAGAGAGCAGTTTCTCTACAAGATATCAACCCCCTTGTTCATATTGAGTCGTTAACAAAAATGGTAGCAATATTTATTGTGCAGAGACTAGGAAATACACACTAATCCCTAGAGCAATTAGCACCCAGATGACAAGAGATCAGCACGTCGATAGCAATCATCAGCCTTACAAACAAGTGCTAGTTTTGAGAGAACGACATAGCAAAATCCCAATTAAGAAGCTGTAGGTAAAATCAACCTTCAGGAACACAATGATAGCGATAGGAACAACATTGGCAGACTGATATTTTAGTTAAGCGAAATCATCATTGCCATAGCAATGGTTTGTCAACATGGTAAGCTTTTTGGAAAGCAAGGATTCCTAATCAGAATGGTAATGATGATAGTAGAACTAAGTTGACAATCTACTAATGTTATCCATATTGATATCAGCATGCTCCTGAAGATCGCATTTTCCTTTGCCTATGACTTTTCAATTGGGATTTGACCACTCTTCTATCTTTCACTACCAGTATTTGTTCATATGGTTACTACTTGACCTCATGTCATCTAAATGTTGTTGCTATAAGATTACAGTGAATGCTCTCCTCCATTTGTTAGGAACTAATTCTGATTTTTATCATGTATTATCTGCTTACGGTGATTCTGGTCTCCCACAGAATAACGTGCCAAATCATTGCAATTATTAATGTTGGTTTTAGAGCAGATAAGTGCAAATAAAGGAATGGTGACATAAATACATGGATTTGAGAGAGTAGAACGTCACTAAATGTCAGTAGGAAACAAGATAACATAACTGAGTCAATAATAGAGGAATGGTGCAACATAAATACATGGATTTGAGAGAGTAGAACGTCACTAAATGTCAGTAGGAAACAAGATAACATAACTGAGTCAATAATAGCAACAACTGCACTAATAATATGCACGTTTCCAAACTCAAATAAAGGAATGGAAAAACAATAAACATAATTTATGAAATAGACCAAAGTGATTTGAGTATAAATCTTCATCAACGGAGATGAGAAGGACGTGCAAAACCTAATTTTTAGCTTCCAACGGATCCAAAAGGAAACTAAATTTGAGATTTTGAGCATAAACACTAAAATATACTTACAATCAAAACGATACCTAATTATGTCTTGTTATAGTTACAACCTTATGAAACCAATTTCAAGTAGAATGCATAGCATTCAGCTAACCCCCTTCCTGTACAACTTTTCAAATAGCAATAACTTCAACTGGGATCCAAAAGTTTCATGACCTTCAATAATTTGCTTCTATCAAGCTATAAATCTACAATTAAATCTATTTGAAGATCCAAACTTTAGATGGTGTTACAAATATGCGACGATTATCTAAACCAACTAGATCATGCTTAATATATATATATATATATATATATATGCAATCAAACATGACAAAACAAAAAACAATCAAATAAGAAGGAAGGAAAAAAAAAGATCAAGATTAGCAAGAACCATACCATCCACTTGAACTAGGCCGGCTTCCACTGGACGTGGGTTTATTAACGAAACCCAGATTTGATTCATCACCTCTCATCCTCTCATACCCACCTGACTTAGGCCTTCCATCCTCACCAAACCGAACAGGAGAACCAAAATACCCTTGCTGCTGATGCCTTTGACCCACCTCCTTACCCCTAAAAACCTCCGGTCCAGGCCTCTCCTCCCTCCCCACAAAACCCGGTCTAAGATGTGGTGGCACAAACTTATCTGGCTTAGGCGACCCCAATATAGCCCCAACCTCCTTCTGCTTCTCCTGTCCAAGAAGCGGGGAAGAACCAATCGAACCACTCCCGGTTCGACCCAATGGACGTAGTGAAATCCGGTCTGATTCTGGTTCAGACCCTGTTTGAACCGGTATTTGAACTTGAGCTTGATGGATCGGTGGGGTTTTCGGAGAGGGAGTCAGTGGTGGGGTTTGGATGGTGGATATCGGTCTAGGTGTGGGTCGGGTCAGAACCAGCATCCGGCCATGGGTTCGGGCCGATGAAGATGGAAGATGGTTTTTGTAGAGATTGTTTGGGCTATTAGGAGATGATATGGTAGAGTAAAAGGAAGTAGAAGATTGATGCTTCGATGGGTTGTTGTTTGTGTTATTGGAAGAGGTGGAATTGCCTATGTTTTTGTCATAAACATGGTTAAAGTTAATGGAGGCATATTTATTGGCTCTGGCCATCCACCACAAGCAACCACCACTGGTAATTTTCAGAGAGAAAAGGAAGGATTTTTGGCTGTTATTTTGGAACTAGTTGAGAGGAAAAGTTAAAGAGAAAATAGAAAGATTGGATCTTGAAGGAAGTTGAGAGAGACAGGAGAGAGAAAAGGTGTTCCTTTTTGTGCTGCTGGTTTTTGCGTATTGGAATCGTGAGTAGGACACAGTTTTTAAGGATTGGTAAGGGATCGCTTTAAAAAAGGCAGTTTTCGGTTGCATACGTGGGGAAAAGTTAGTGGATTTGATAGAGTGACAGAGGAAGAAGTGGCAAATGCAAACACTTTTCGTAGGTGGTTTGATGACCATAGGTTTCTTTCCCAATCACCGTAGTTTAACCTTTTTCTTTTTTCTTTTTTTTTTGAGTTTTTTCTCTTTCCTAAAATTGCAAACCTCTCTTGTCAAATAAAAAACAAAGATTTCTCAGCTTCCACAGGCTATCTCGCTGTTGCATATTGTGGGTTATTTTTGAAAAAACAGATAAATACATCAAAAAAAAAATTATTATATTCTGATTCATCGGCTCAAACTTCTTTTTAATTTTTCTCTTTCTTTCAGAGTAAATTAGTTAAATACACCTATTATACTACAATAAAACAATAATTGTATATGTAGAATTAACGATTCGTGCGATATTGTGTGAATAGAAGTTTTATTTCGATAATTAATGTAAATCGAATTTATACACTAAGCGAAGTCGTTTGATTTATATATATTTATTAATAAAATATTTAATAATATTAATATAAAAATTTATAGTTAAATAATTGGGAGGCTCGTTCGAAATATTATCGAACTTATTTTATTTTAAAAAATTTTAAATATGGAAAAAAACAAATAATTGATAGTATGTGTATAGATATATAGTTAATTTATAACAAAATTAATAATCACACGCGCTCGCGTAAGCGCGTGCACACACACATATGTAACAGATTAAGAATATATAGAATAAATAGAAAAATATATATAAAAAAGTCTAAATTATATGAAATATATTGAAGTCAACAGATTAAAAAAAATTACAATAAAATTGATTTTGATAAATTCTAAATAAATATATATTAAAAAGTAAATAAAACTTGTGAATTCTTTCAACTCGGTTATCAATTTAAAAAAAAAAAACTAAGTTAAGCTATCTAAAACATACTTCTCTCTCTCTCTCTCTCTCTCTCTCTCTCTCTCTCTATATATATATATATATATATATATATTAAAAAATAAAAAACTCATTTAAGAAGCAAAAAAATAATTTATTGTATAAATTATAATAATATATTTTAAAATAATAAAACATTGATGTTCTAAAATTTTATTTCAAAATTCATTTATTTTATTAACAAATAAATTACATCACAAAAAATTAATTTGATATGAATTTTAATAAGAAAAAAATAATTGAAAAATAAAATTTAAACAATAAGAGTAATATATATATCCGGAAGAAGGGAGAAAAAAAAGGAAACAAAACGCGCCCGCAAAGACATGTTTTAAAAAAAAAAAAAAAAAAAGAAGAAAGAAGAAACAAAACATGCCTGCTAGGATAGGTACACACACATGTGTGTGTCAAAAAAAAAAAAAAAAAAAAAAGGCCATGACTGGTGGCTTGTGCGACCGGGCTCGAGTCACTGCCGAATGCCAAAAAAAAAAAAAAAAATCATCCGCAACTTTCGATGAACACGAGGTCGTCGGAAGATATCGAAAAATCGAAGGTCAAGTTTCGATTCCTAAAAATTGAATTTCGACATCATTTTTTTTCTAAAACACCTCTAAATGACCGGAATAAAGTCAATAAATACATATAAAACATTAAAAATTATTTTAATGCGTAACAAAACAAAAAAAAAACAATAAATCAGAATTTTTTTTCATTTTTGGTTCGATCTACCTCATCTAATTGTTTAATGACTTGAAACCATCATGGACAAACTCATCTCTTAAAGATAAAAAAATCTAATGGACTTTCGCCGGTCAAAACGACCTAAATAAGCTTAGCCGGCGATCTTTCTCTCCCGTCTCTCTCTTCCTCCCTCTCCTCTTTCTCCACCTAGGGACCAAAATGGATGAGCAAATAAAGATGTGGATCGAAATATTCGTTTGAAAATATCGGAGACCAAAGTATAAAAAATTACATAAATTTGACCATCAAAACCCAAAAAATCACGAAAATATCATCCACGGTGCAACCGAGTCTAGTGCTACGGTAAGTGAATAGTGAAATGTTCACTTCTTTTAGTTATATAGAATATTAATAATTACTTTATAAGTAATATACATTATTTTTGCGTAAGAGAGCAATTTACTACCGGCTTGATTTGAATGATCATAAATATTTTGTTTTACTAGCGGATTTTTTTCGTTGAATATTTGAATTTTAAGAAGATTGTATGTAAAAAAATTTGTATGAATGTAATAGTAAGCTGAAAATTTTTTCCAAATGAAGCTTTTTTAAACCTTTTATTGAGTTTATTTTTTTTCAAACATGGATTTCAAATATTATGAGTAAATTATAAATTAGTCTCTTTCATTTCAAGAATGAATTAATTCATTCTTCTTATTTTAAAAATTAATTATTTAATCCTTATTTTTAAAATTTTTTGATTTTTTATTTTAAAAAATAGAAAAAATTATAGAAAACTATAGAAAGATTGATGAAAAAATATTTTATAAAATAAAAATAATATTAAATTAAATATGATCAACATTGATCAAATAATTAAATAATAGTTCTTAAAAAGAGAAATTAATTAATTCATTTATTGAAATTAGAGAGACTAATTTATAATTTACTCCAAATATTTTTTTCTTACAAAAAAATGCAGCTACAACTACAATTATAGTTACAACTATTATTACAATTAATTTCTAACCTAAAGGTCGCTAAATTGTTATTATATCTTTAAATATTAATATATATTTTTAGACTATTTTACTCTGATTTATACTAAATTTTTTATTTATATAATATTAAATACGCATCACCACAACAACTTGGTATATAAATTATACTGAGTTTTATAAACGGTTAAAGAAATTAACAAATTAAGCGTTCATCTATTGCACGCCTCAAGTCTCAACCATCCATTGGCAAAGGGTTGACGGCAGGCCAGCTAGTTTATGAGCCCAATTTGAGCTTAGCCATTAGCTATCTTGGGTTAGCACCACCATGCAATTTATATTTGGATACCTAATAGCCTTGTCCAAGGCTCCAAGTTCATCGTGAATGGGACGTGACAAGGCCATCCCATTCAAAAACAATTCCAATAATCAAAGAATCCACTATATTCTAAAGTGAACCACAGCCCAGAATATGGCTATAGACTTATTGATTTATGGGTTCTTAAAGGCTTTGTCTTGTTGAGGCCCAAAATATAAAAGTTCACATATTTTACAATGAGCCTTTTCTCTTCCGGCAAGGATAATAAATAGACATTTTTCTCTCTACGGTTTTCTTGTCAATTATTAATGACATTCAATAACTTCTTTCACGGATCAAGGATTCTCTTATATAATAAGAAAAAGGTTAGAATCTTATACAGTAAGGTAGAACGGCAGAGGCCAAATTTTGAAAATTATTTTTGGATAGAAGTCAAGAAAACTTCTTATTGTGTCTTTTTTTTTTTTCTCTACCCTAGCATTCAAATACACTACTAGCTGAGAAGGTTATACTCAAAAGAATTCCACTCTAGTGGCTGCCGTGTATATAGCTATAAATAGGTTATAAAAGATACGTAGTTGAGATTTGAAAATATTAAAAAAGAATCCTAGTGTGTCCGTATTGTGTTTGAATATAACCCCACATATCCGTACTATGTTTATATAGAATCTTAACTTATTTGTTATCTTATCAACCTCTCTCAAGTTGAGTTGGGAAACATTGAACGGTCAACTTGTCATGAAAAAATTGGAAATGTCTGGCTAAATAGAGTTTTGGTCAAGCAATCCGCAATTTGATCCTTTATGGAAATATAGCAAACAAGTGGATCTCTTATACTAACGCATTCACGAATAAAATGAAAATCAATCTCTAAATACCCGAATTGAGAATGAAACACCGAATTACGAGAAAAGTATGTAGCATTGAGATTATCACACCATAAAATGGGTGTAGTAGAGGATGTCAAATGTGATTCATGAAAGAGAGATTGTAACCATAAAACTTCGAAGCAACTATAGATAAGGCTCTATGTTCGACTTTAATGGATAATTTGGACATTGTGTATTGTTTTTGAAAACACCAAGACACTAAATTAATGATAAGAAATGGCATATTTAGTCATGAATTTTCGATCATCAATACTACCGACTTCAATCAACATCACTATAAGTAGATATATGTAGATGAGGTGAAGATCGGATCAACAAACCATAAGACGAGAGCCTTTTAGGTAACAAAGAATCCATTTGACTACCCGCCAATGATCGATGGTAAAAGAGTGCATAAATTGAGCAACTTTGTTTACGGCATAGGACACATCGGGACGTGTAAGGGTTAGATGCCGAAGACTTCCCACAATACTACAATACAACGAAGAGATCAAGAAATGGCTTACCCATAGACATAGTAAGACGATGCTTAGGACAAGCGGGAGTAGCAATTGAATTGCTTTCATGCATGCAAGAGTGAAGTAGAATATCATCAATATACTTGGATCGAGCTAAAAGAAGACCCTTAGTAGTCCATGTAGCTTCAATTCCAAGAAAATAATGTAAGCCGGCAAGATCTTTTGAGAGGAAAAAAACATTGAAAAACAACGAACAATAAAGGATAAGAAGGATGAAGAGCTCCCAGTTAACACTATATCACCCATATAGACAAAACAGGTAGGCATGAGTGTCACCATTCGATAAGAAAATAAAGAGAAGTCCGCCTTAGAATCCACAAAGCCAAGTGTGGATAAGGCATTAGAGAGGAAGCGAAACCAAGATTTGAGAGCATGCTTGAGACCATAAAGACTTTTTTGAATCTACGGACATGATATGGTTTGGATGGGTCAATAAACCCCTAAGGTTGAGTCATGAAAACCTATTTATCAAGAGTGCCATGAAAAAAAAAGCATTAGAAACATTTAAATGCTTAATATCCTAATGTTTGGAAACAATAAGAGACAGGATAAGTCCGATAGTAACAAGTTTGACAACAAGAGAAAAGGTTTTAGTGCAATCTAGACTAAGATGTTAGTGAAAACCTTTGGCAATAAGACAGGTTTTGTAGCGCTCAATACTACCATCGGTCTTGTTTTTGTGCGAAACACCCATTTATAACCTATCGTATTTTATGAAGTATCCGTTGGTACCAAAACCTATGTATTATTATGAATTAAGGTATTAATTTTCTCTACCATGGCTTTTCTTCGATCATCATTTTTTATAGCTTGAGAGTAGGATCGGGGATCCAAAGCCGAGGTAGCCAAACTTACTAATGCTTTAGGTTTCAAGCACCCGAGTTTAAGACCTTGTGATCATGGAATGAAGTTTAGTATAGGGCTAAACCATTGATTAAATTGAAGAAAAAGGCAAAGTCGGTAGCAAACTTGAGGCTTGATGTACAAGCTAGACCAAAGTCGGTGGGGATCGAACTTCGACAGTTAGCGAGACCGAATGGCATGGATTGGTAAAGACCGAATGTCACGACCTATAGGCTACGCTAGAATAGTCTGCTGGACATGGAGCGATGAGGCTACTCCATGAAATGAAGTTTAGTATAGGGGTTGAACCATTGATTAAGTCGAAGAAAAAGGCAAAGCCGTGTAGCAAACATGAGGTTGGATGTGTACGCTAGACCGCAGCTAATGGAGATCGAATGTCAACGATTGACGGGGACCGAATGGCATGGATTGGTAGAGATTAAAGGTCACAACCTCGTGGGCTGTACTAGACTAACTGTTGGACATGAAGCGGTAGGTTATTGTCCTATAGGTTGTAAAGTGGAGAAGCTTGAAAAATCCAAAGTGATATTGGCGAGTGGGTTAGATAATAGATAGAAAAATGGTAGGTGTTTGGGGTCGTATTAAAGGTGCCTGATTGGCCATTAAGAGGTTCAACAAAGGCATGTGGAGAAAGAAAAAAAATTAACGACTTAGAATGGTGAGATTATTGAGCCAAAAATTAAGAAGTAGAATAGCTCATAGAGATTAGAGGATGGGTCTGTATGTGGAGTGATATGAACAGCAGCGGGCATAGGAGATTGAGAACTCAAAGGTAGACTCGTTAGAAGTAATGGAGGATTAGACAATAAACAAGTTAGAGAATTAGATTGTAAAGGTTTTATCGAAGAGCAGTTCCACATGTAGTTTAGCAAAAGGGAACTCCTACTTAGAAAATTTAACATGTCATGAGATATAAATCCTTTCAGTAAAAATATTCAAATAAAAATATCCCCTATGGATTTTGCTATAACCTAGAAAAACACATCTTTTTGATCAAGGAGCCAATTTATTGGCGACGTAAGACCTTAACCAAGGGTAGCAAGCATAGCTAAAAACTTTAAGAAAATCATAATCAATGAAATGCTTAAATAATACTACATATAATACTTGATTAGATAAAAGAAGAGTCAAAAACCAATTAATAATGTAAATAGCCGCATCAAAAGCATATGTCTAGTATTTCAATAAAAAAAAAAAAACCCGAAACATGATTTAATAAAGCTAAACCAATTTCAACCATATGACGATGTTTGCATTTAGCACACCCTTTCTATTTAGGAGTGTGTGGGCAAGAGCTTCTCTATATGATACCATTTTTATTAAGATATTTTATGAGAGCTTGATACTCACCACTCCAATCGATCTAAAAAGATTTTATTGAACATCCAAAATATTTTTTTATAAAATGTCAAAATTTAATAAAAGTATTGAGGACCTTGGATTTATATTTAATAAAAAAATATCCAAGTGTACTTGCTGAAATGATTAAAAAATAGTAAATAGTACTTAACACTAGTAACAGAGGTAACAGGAGAGGGACCCTACACATCCGAACAAATTAACTCAAAAGGAGGCCATGCTTGAAATTTTAAAACGATAAAGGATTGTCTAATGGTCTTATTGATATTGTGTACATGACACAAAAGAACAAAATCCATAGGAGGAACCGAATAATTATTATTTCTAAGTACTTAATGGACGATCCGAAAAGAGGCACTACCCAAACGTGCATGTCAAGACCGTAGAAAGGCGTAAATGACATGAGCAAAGATAGTAGGGAAGCTAACACGAGTGTTCGATGGAAAAACATATAACCCCTGTTTATTCAACCTTAAATGAAGAACTTCCTTCGTGTAGATATCCTTAATAGCAAAATAATATGAAAAACATTTAATGGAAACAACATTAGTTTTGGTAAAGAAACTCACGGACGGTAGATTTTGACATACGAGTAGGAATATATAAAACATTCTTTAGATAAAAAAACATGATTAGGAGCAGGAATAGAAGACTACCCAATATGAGAGATTGAAAGTGTTTTACCATTGCCAATGGTGAATTCGGATGAACAAGTTTGGTTCTCCATGTTAATCGTGAGATGATGATCGACTCCTCGCTTAAAAATCCAAGGTAATGAAGCTAGTGGTCCAAGTAGCAACAAGATAACCGATAGGTTAATGGCATGAGAGCTATTTAGAATCATATTTGGGGCGAGGAGAAGGACGCCGCCCGGAGATATGTCCACTACCCCGATAATTATGACATGGAAGATGGTTTTGATTAGCAGGAAAGGATTTTGGATTAGAGGTAGAAGAATGAGGAGCGAGTGTGTGGCCGAGTGAATATAACTGGAGCAAGATTTTGGCATCGCCGATCACGTCCTTTCTACCCTCTCCCATGGCCATAAGAAAAGCTTTCATAATAGGTAAAATAAGTGCATCATTGGAGTAGGAATATTGTCTACAACTGTGGCATCTTAAGAGAGTTGTCGTTCTTCACCAAGAAAAAAGCCCAAATAAGTCAACAAAAGAGACAAAGATAAGCATGGCTTCTAAAGATCGGACAAAGTGGTCTATATATAGGCAAGACCGGGAAGAATAGCATCAACAAGGTCATCTCCGGATATTGAATGGCTAAGGGCAACAAGGTGATCGGATAAAGCCTTTACTTTTTGTAGATAAGTGGAGATGTCATCGTTGTTTTACCGAAGTTGATGTAGTTGAGACTTGAGTTGACAAATTTGAGTTTTAGAGCCTAAAGCATAGGTTGAAATAAGCCACCACTACACATCTCTAACAATAAAGACACCAACAA